CCTGCCAAGAGTGGCTGCTGGCTCTAAACTGTCAATCACATCTAAGTCCCAGATATTGATGAAGGGTTCCATGGTTCCAACARCAACAAAGTTACCTTTGGTTAATAGAAAAAAGTCATTATTTCTGAAACCTATAAAATGTTGATAAATACAGTAACTTGAATATATCTTGAGTCATCTATTTTAGGAAAATATAAAAATCTCTGGTTTGAACAGAATCTGTTATAGTGACATCACAGAGTCAGGTCAATAATGTGTAGAAAACCCTACAAAAATCCAAAGAGGGGTTTTGTGTTTCGAGATATCACACATGATACTGAAAGATGTTCATCACTACTTGTTAATGACCACAACTGGGTAAGATCACTTGTATGTAGCATTGGTTCCTAGAATGATGTGTGCCAAATTTAAAATTGATTACCCTCTGCTTATCTTAATAATAGTTTAAGTATAGGAAATGGTGGATACCTGGGCTATTTCCGCCATCAGGATCAAAGTCCATCCACTCTAGTGCTAATGGAAATGAGTCCATGAGAATATCATGATGGACGTAGTAATTATCATCTTCTTCATTCCACACTGTGAACATAAAAAATAWATATATTTTGCTCAGGTAGATAAATGTTGGAAATAATGGTAAATCCCTAATTGTTGTGGACTTCTTTAAGCTACGAATAAAATGAGAAAACAAGTGTGGGAATGAAAGGATGGATGAACAAACAAACAAAACAAATGAATAAGTAAATAAATAAGTTGAAGAATGAAAGAATGAAGGAAGGAGTGTATCAGTCAATCRATCAATCAGTTAAGTCATCAATTAATCAATCATTTAATCAATCAATCAATAATATTCAGTCCTTACAATAAAGAACTTACAGAGTATTTCAAGGTTGCTAAACTCATCATCTACATGTCCCGTTATGACCARATTATCTGTGCTTTTTATTGTAAAATCATCTTTGTCTTCATCAAGCTGTTCACAAAGCATACATGTAAACAAAATTTAGCTGTCTATATTAATCAATGATGCAAATCCAATAATTTTGTATAAATAGAATCAAACTTGACATGTGTTACCTCATCTTTTATAAGAACGTAAGGATCTTCTTCATTGGTTGCATAATAGGAAAGCCCAGCCATTCCTGCTCCTTCCATTCGTATACCTTATATACAAACTCAAATCAGATACACTATATATACCGGTACATGCCCACAAAATGTCTACTGTATCCATGACGTACCAGGTTTACATGCTTTAAAATTAGGCAAAAACTATAAAAATATGTTGTAAATACATTTAAAAAATGTCTATTGCATTTACCTTCTTCTTCATCATCATCATAATTTTCTAAATCGTACTCATTCAAAATATCTTTTATTTCATCTTCTTGTATGTCATCATCATCATCATCATTATCATCACTTTTTTTTCTTTTGTCTTTGTTTTTATTCTTTTCTTGTGATTGCTCCTCTTCTTTCTCCCTGAGAAAGAAAATAAAATAAGGAATAAAACTGAAGTCCTTGATTGGCGCAATCAGCTGTTATTCTTTGAACTTGCCTTAGTCTTTCTCTAGCATCGTCAATGACTTCTTTTAGTTCTTCTTTGGACAGAGTAACCTTTGATAGCAATTATATAGCAAGKGGTTAATATTGATTTAAGATCTAAACGTTTATAAAAAAATGCAGGGTTAAGTATGTTAAGTTAAGATGTTTTATTTTTTACGAATTTTACGAAATGGCTTTGATAGTTAATTTGAGTATCAGAACACACTAGATCTCAAATACAGCTCCCCAAATGCCAATTTAGCTCATATTTTGCAATAGCTGCTTTTTAATACAGGAAACATTAAAAATAATGAAAGTAAAGACTTCGATATTAATACCAGGCACTGCTTCATGCAACATGTTTACCTTATCTGGATTTTCTTTGGCCGCTCCTCTCTTAACCCACGCTAAACAAGTTATCATTTTGTTCTGCAATAAAATATCTTGATGATCAAAAGCCCATTTCTATGATAAATACAAAAACAACTCCATAAATTTCTTATTTTTTCTGAGGTTTTGACAAATTCTTCAGTTTGTTTGCTTCACGTGTTGATTGCTTAGTAGCCAGGCGCTAGTAATCGTCAGTGGACTGGAACCTATCTCCTTGTTTTGTCAATGGGAGGGGAGGGAGAGTATATTTTCGGCAAGCATTTCTTTCTGGGGTTAGAGTGAGTCATAGATAAAATAATGTACCAGCACCTGCTCAGAAATGCCTTATATGAAACTGAGCAATGACTAGGACTRCACTAGCCCCATAAACAAACAACCATCAACAACTTCACTTTTAAAAATGTAAAACAAATCTTAAAAACACACTTAAGTGTAAAAAATACATATATAGATGTAGATTTATGTAATTGTTCTCCCTAAACTGAAATGTTAATAAAGAACYATAAACATAAAAGTACATTATGGACACAAAATTGCTGTCAATACGATTTAGTGTTTATRCTAAAAGAGGAAGAATTTGTCATGGTTTTGATTGAGGCTTGAAGGCCTCGATGATTTCACTTTCAAACAACTTCAATTTAGCCAATGGAACAGGAAAAATCTCTGATACAACAAGTGCTTGGTGATTAATGAGTCAGTTGGCTGTTTGCTAATAGCTTTTCTGGATCATTCTTGACTTCTATGCTAAGAGATTTAATCAAAAAATACAAAGTGTTTTTGGTGCTTTTGTTAGTGTTTTGAGGAGAAATAATGCCAATCTGTCTTTCAATTAGTAGATTTTTGATATSCTGATAACAAGCTGAATTGACTTTGATTTCTCAAAAAAATATACAAGATTCAATGGAAGATTTAGCAATATTTATTTATCTCAATATACTTAACTATTCCAATGATTTTCAAAATCACGCATTGTTTAAATAATAAAATTACAATTGAAAACACATATATGTAAGGGAATATCTCTAACTTTTGTTWATAATTTTCTCCTTTTTTCAAATCCCATTTTTAATTCTAAAGAAATGTTCCAAATCCCTTTAGTTAAAACTGTTTGGACGACTGCAGTGCTAAACATCTTAAAGGGCAACAACTCTACAAAAATAGCTCTCAAATATTTCTCCATAAGAAAATTTGATTGTTACAGCTTGTAATAAATAATGGTAGAAGTAGTGGATTATATCAAATACAATTTAAAATCGACCAAACATTTGTGACATCATGTTATTCATTTCTTGCATTTGCATCTCCATTTGAATGAAAGGGTCTCTAAACATCATTTGTGACCCGAATGGAAACTGTTCAAAGAATGGATCCACCATCGAAGGGCGATGGAATTGTCGAAGTCTGTGTCTTCTAGACGGCCTTGTATGGTGATGATGGTGGTGGTGGTGATGAACGCCAGTACCGAAATCATTATCCACGTCAATAAACGTTATTTCAGGTTCTTCAAAATCGTCCATAAAGAACTGATGTTGGTTTCTACGTCTTGAAGACCCCCTATTTTGCCTCCTTCGTCTTCGCTGTGGTTCTGTTTCAAAGGGTGACTCGGAAAACATAGCAGACGCGAAAAAATCTTCGAATGGATCGAAGGCACCAAAGAATTCGCGGAATATTTCGTCTGGTGAACGGAAAACATGAACATGAACTCCACTCGCACTAAATCCGTCGTCTGAGMCCCTGTTTTGTGAAAGTAGCCCTTCTTTTCCATATTTATCATATAATTCTCTTTTTTCTTTGTTTGAAAGAACCTCATAWGCCTCAGCAATTTCTTTRAAGCGAGCCTCAGCCGCTTCACGATTTTCAGGATTTTTATCTGGGTGCCATTTCAGTGCTTGCTTTCGATAAGCTTTCTTGATGTCTTCTTCTGTAGCGGATTGTTGTATTTCCAATAAGTCATAGTATTCTCCCATATTGTAATTGTTATCGCCAAAGATCTGTACTGACAAGAACGAACGTACTCAAGAAAGTAAATCAAACACCTTTCAGTTTCGAAGTCATCTTCCAAAGTGTCCTCATCGTCAACCACCTTTACATGACATCGGCTCCGACGCATTTCCGACGTCATACGAAAGTTACCCGAGACTCGAGAATCACCACATTCCGTGCGAAAAAATAATGTTACGAAAGCAAAAGCGTTTATTTGCAAAAAATATTTCAATGGGTCTTCAAGATGATACTATTCTCAAGAAAAAAATAAATCTATTTTTTTATTACCAATGGTCGCCAAGCGAAAGGAAAGACAATTTTACGCATTTATTTTCCTGACCAACATCTTAATAAATATTACATAAAGAAATATTGTAAGAAATGAATTATACAAAATAGAGAATCCATATTTGGTGAATATTTTTTTCTCTATTCAGACTTTGAACGTACTCCCGGAAGTGGTTTYGTTTTTCGGAATAATCTCGGCTTTTCGGAAAATTCCCGATTAAGGAGCGAGCACTGAAACGGACGTGCAGCCCTTTGAAACGCTGGCAATGGATGAGAGCAACAACCTGTAAAAACATTGTTTTTTACCCTCCGATTGCTGTTATCTCACCATTTAAAGTTAATTAATTAAATTTAAGTCAATATCCTAGAGCTGTGTGCCGAATAAACGGCCAATTTGACTCAGGAAAGCTGGCGAAAGCGGACGAAGAACATGGAAAATGTTAACAACGACAACGGAGATGGGAACCAAGACTATGATTCAAGTGATAGCGAACTTGAATCCCTTGGTTTAGACGCGAATGTTCCTTTAGATATACCGCCAAGAGATATTCCTGTTCGTCACATAAGAGCTTTAAGTGATCCTCTGCATTCTGCCCTYAAACACCGCCCGAGTTTCCCAGACGAAGAACGYTTGCCAGGACCWAGCAGCATGAAACGTAGTTCTGAAGTGAACGAGACTGCGAATTCTAGAGTTGTGAGCTCAAATATGGGAAAGGGAAAGCCWAAAGACATGGATAAATTGATATTGATTGTAGATGGCACTCGTTTCGTTGTCGAAAGGTCGTTATTTATTGCTCATCCTAACACRATGCTGGGAAGGTATCTTAAAAGTTCTTTGAAGATTTGTACATGTTTCACTTCATTGATTGTTATTGTTGAAATGATCCATGTATTGTTTGCATAGCATTATTATCCTATTTTCCCTCAATAACCCCAACGACCTCATAGTTTAGATAAAGTGTGCGAATTTATGCCAAAGAATGATCCAAGCTATAAATTTTGAGTAATTGTACATTTTGTACTTTTGAAGTTATGTCCATTTCCATTATTATTTCATTTTATTTTATTGGAGATGTAATAATTCATGCCCAAATACCAATTGCCCTTCTGATCTATACTGAAGTTCTTTGTATAACAGAGAATTATTAAAGCTCGGACCTACAAATCCATCAAGCAAGTTTGTCCAAATGTTAACCTACTGTGTCACCTGCCCAACTATGTCAATTGGGGTTCTATGCGTTTGACATTTCTCATTTGTCTTGTATTAAGAATGAATCTTAATTCTTAATTTGTAGGATGTTTGGATCATCCAATGACTACACGGCCAGAAATGATAAAGGAGAGTTTGAAGTTGCTCATGGRATTTCAGCTGCCCTGTTTAAATGCATTCTAGTAAGTTTGCCATCATTATTTTTATGGATAATTAAATTATTAKYATTATTATMATTATYATTACAGACTGTAATGTTGCATTCATTAGCAGGAGGTATCACCGTCAGTATTGCCATGGCCACCATATTACATTATAACAAATACCATTCCTATTCTAATATTATGCTCTTTCATCTGTTACATAAAGGATTATTATAAAACTGGCATGATAAACTGCCCACCAAGTATCTCAATTCCTGAGCTGAGAGAAGCCTGTGATTATCTTCTTCTTCCTTTCAATGCCAACATTGTAAAATGTCAGAATTTACGTAAGTATCACATTACATGTAAATTCTACTTCTTGTAAACARCTGTATCACRCAGMAAAYGGGTTGTCAAGGTTAACTGTCAAGTTTGGCATGTGAAACRATAGCATTCGAAGTCCAAAGCATAATATTTGCACATGAAATGTACTTTTAGATCATGCAATCACATATGCCACACTTGACAATTAAAACCTATCAAACTTCTGTTAAACAGGTTCCTATGTTAATTGGTCACTTATGAATTCTCCAAAAGGCAATTCTCAAATAATATTATATTTATAATGTAAAACGTCCTCTATTAAACCTCCATTAAGCAATCCCTACTCTAGATCTTTCTGCAAGGTGAGCTTAATAGACGTTCAACTATAACAGCTACAGCTTGCCACACCAGAGTTAATTGAAGCCTGTAAATTAGTCAGTAAAAGGCRATGTCATTMATTTTATAGGTGAGTTACTTCACGAATTATCAAATGATGGAGCAAGGAATCAATTTATTGAGTTTTTAGAAGAGTTCATTGTTCCTGTMATGGTATCAGCTGCTAGGGTGAGTGGGAATACATTCATCCATCCTTTCAGTCAGTCAGTCATCCGTTCATTTAGACTATTATTTATTCAAGTCAGCCATTTGGTCAGTGTGTTATTAATTCAGTCAGTCATCCCACCAGTCAGTCAGTAGTCAGTCAGTCAATCAAATAGTCAGTCATTTATTCAGTCTTTCATTCATTCATTTACAGTGTATTATGAATGTGTGATAGACTATCCTGGGAAATTATAGCAATCTATTAATATGTGAATGTTTGTTATTTTTCAGAAAGGTAACAGAGAATGCCATATYGTGATACTTGCTGAGGAAGATATTGTTGAATGGGATCGTGAATATCCACCAAGCATGGGCGAAGAATATCATCAAAGTAAGATTGTTAAGTGGACTATCAATTTACTTACTTACTTACTTATCCCCATCTTCCCTAGTGAGAAATAGGGCCGCGACACGGTGACGCCACTCTTGGCGGTCCTTAATTTGCAACTTTCACCAAAGCCTCGCCCCAAGTCAGTCCCATCTCCAGCAACTCAGCCTGGACGGTTCTTCTCCAAGTTGTTTTAGGCTGTCCAGACTTACGCTTCCCAACAGGTGTCCAAAAAGTTGATGTTTTTGGGATACGTTCCTGTTCCACCCAGAMTATCAATTTAACTGTTCATTGATTTTGTTCAGTTCAGTCTTTGTTCATTTATTGATTTGTCATAGTTTGTACGGCCTTAAAAAGTTGTTTGAAAAGTCCATGTTATTTTTTGGTTAATAAAGTTGTAAAAGTACTATGGTTTGTTCTTTTATTTATTCCTTCACTTATTGATTGATTGGTTAAGTAATTTTATTGTCAATAYCTATAATTTATGCAARCCTTTTCAAACAAGTCATTACCTCTTTCTGCAGTTATTTACAACAACCGACTACACAGATTCTTYAAGTATTTTGAGAACAGAGACGTGGCTAAAGATGTGTTAAAGGAGAGAGGTTTAAAGAAGATACGACTAGGAATTGAAGGTATCTTGTCTCATAGAAAATGCTATTCTTTGTTAACTGGAATTACAATTTATTGTTCATCCAGTTCCGAAACTGGGCAAAAGATGCTGGTTTGAGAATGGTCCCTAATGTTTGGTTATTATAATCTTATACRTTGATTCTTTCAGGATATCCTACTCACAAAGAAAAGATAAAACAGAGACCCAATGGTGGCCGGCTTGAAGGTGATTATAAGATACAGAATTTCTGCTACTCATTGAAATCCTTAAAAAGCCCTGAAATTGAAAACTTTTGAAAAAAAGGGAAATGACAAAATACTCCTTGAATATTCCTTTAATCTGTTGCAGTCCACATTTTTTTTAAATTTTATTGGAATTTAAAAAAAAGCTGAACGAAGTCATGATTATAGAAAAAGATAGTCCTTTGGAAGTTTTGTGCTGTAAAAGTCCTGGAATTTTGTGATGAAAATGTAGCACTATGCTTATAAAAAGACCTTTTGTCAAAGTGCAACTCTCRAGGTGACTTCTTACAGAGGTTCAACTGTATGGATACACTCAGATTATCTTACTTTTGTTTTCAGTGATTTACAACTATGTCCAGAGGCCATTTGTCAGRATGTCTTGGGAAAAAGAAGAGAGTAAAAGCCGGCATGTTGACTTTCAGTGTGTCAAGCAAAAGACTGGTGTGCCTGGTCTTGTAGAAGCTGTTGATGAGCCTGCAGCCTTAGCTGCCGCAGGTGCAATAAACGCACCACGCCCACCTCCGGTAGTCCTTGGTGCATAYCCAGAGGACTACGAGTAAATAATGGAGAATTATTCATTATGGAAGTATGGTAACGTCATGCAATATTGCATAGTATATGCCGTAACATTATGCATTGTTCTTGGTATGCAAGTTACATCATAGGTACCATGTTGGATGAAGACAACATAGCATTTATCATTAGCTTCTGTTGTTCAGTCATCCGATATAGCATCAATTGATGTGCTCATATTTCTCAAGGAATTCTTGGTAATATGGTTGCACACCAAGAATTTCATAGTGTACTAGTAACATCACCAATTATTGCAAAGTATATGATTATAGTTAGTTAGAGGCATGCAATATTGCATAGTATTATATGGTAACATCGTCCGTTAGGATATATGACAGTATATT